CAAAAGAATGAAACTGGACCACTTTCTTACACCACTCACAAAAATAAACTCAAAATGAATTAAAGACCTGGGTGCCTGGGTGGCTCAGTCGTTAAGCGTCTGCCTTCGGCTCAGGTCATGATCCCAGGGTCCTGGGATCGAGTCCCACATCGGGCTCCCTGCTCAGCGGGAAGCCTACTTCTCCCTCACCCACTCCCCCTGCTTGTGTTCCTGCTCTCGCTGTGTCTCTCTGTCAAATAAATAAATAAAAAATCTTAAAATGAATTAAAGACCTAAATGTGAGACCTGAAACCTAAAATTCCTGGGAAAAAACATAAGCAGTAAGTTCTTTAACACTGGTCTCAGTGATTATTTTTTGGATATGCCTCTTCAAGCAAGGACAACAAAAGCAAAAATAAATGCGACTATATCAAAATATAAAGCTTTTGCACAAGGAGGAAACCATCAACAAAATGAAGAGGCAACAACCTACAATATGGGAGAAGGTATTCACAAATGATGAATCCAATAAGGGATTAATATCCAAATATATAAAGCATTCATAAAACTCTTTATGAAAAAAACATCCAACTAAAAAATGGGCAGAAGACACGAATGGACATTTCTCCAAAAAAGACATCCACATGGCCAACAGGCCCATGAAAAGATGCTCAACATCACTATCCATCAGGGAAATGCAAATGAAAACCACAATGAGGGATCACCTCACACCTCTCAAAATGGCTAAAATCAACAACACAAGACACAGCAGGTGTTGGAGAGGATGTGGAGAAAAAATAACCCTCGTTCACAGCTGGCGGGAATGCAAACTGGTGCAGCCACTATGGTGGTTCCTTAAAAATTTAAAAATAGAACAACCATAGAACCCAGTAATTCCACTACTAGGTATTAACCCAAAGAAAACAAAAACACTAATTGGAAAAGATCTCCGCACCCCTACGTTCACTGAAGCATTATTTACAATAGCCCAGATATGGAAACAACCTAAGTGTCTATGGATAGATGAATGGATAAAAAAAGATGTGGTGTATATGAACAGTAGAATATTATCCAGCCATTAAAAAGAATGCGATCTTACCACCTGTGACAGCATGGATGGACCTAGAGGGTCTCACACTAAGCAAATAAAACAGGGATAAGATAAATACCATATGATTTTACTTGTATGTGGAATCTAAAAAGCAACTGAACAAACAGAAACAGACTCAAATACAGAAAACTGGTGGTGGCCACAGGGGAGGGGGATGGGCTGATGGACGAAATAGGTGAAGGGATTAAGAGGTACAAACTTGCATTATAAAATAAGTAAGTCATGAAGATGAGAAGTACACCACAGGGAATCCAGTCATTAAAGAAACACTGTATGGTGAGAGATTGGAACTATACTTATGGTCACCATTGCATAATACACAGAATTGTCAAATCACTATGCTGTGCACCTGAAACTCATGTAACACTGAATTATCAACCAAACTTAAAAATAAACAAACGAATGAATGAATGAATGAATGAATGGCAGTTGAGGAAGAGAGAGACTCAGGAACATGCCCAAGGTCACACAGCCAAAAGGCAAAGCCGAGGTGTGACCGACCAGGGCAGTACGGCCCCACTGTGGTAGTTTTAAAACATGTCTATAAACTTTTGAACAGTCCTATCAAGGGATGGAGTCTAATGCCCCTCCCCTCAAACCTGGGTGGGCCTTTGTAGTCAATTCAAGGAACAATGCAGAAGAAGGGACGATGCTGGGAAACCTAACTGCCATGTGGCCAGGTCACAGAGACCAGAGAGAGGAGGAGGAGGATGAGGAGAACGATGCCGTGCTACCTGAGGAGCCCCAGCTGTCTCAGGCCGAGCTAAGTCTCCCCAGCCCAGCAACGGACAGAAGCCACCTTGGAGATGACATCATCAGCCACCACCATCTGACTGCACGAGCGCTCCCCACCCCAACTGATAACTGCCCAGCTGAGCCCAGTCAACCTGATTTGTGAACAAATGCCTATTTAAAAAGGAAAAAAAAAACCTTTATGATGATAACGCAAAAACCTTATGATCTCCTTCTACTTAATGAAGAGTAAATCATGCCATATAGTTAATGAACTTACCTGTGTGTGAGCAGCTTCATGTGAAAATCTAATAACTATGCTGCAAGAACCGTATGAAATGTTTCTGCGTCCTCAACATCACTGAAGTATTCATTTATTGTGTCTGACACCGTGTGCAAGCCTTGTGTGGAAGCAGTCTACCTTTACATGGGCATAATGATGAAGTTTTCTTACCGTTTTATGACCTTGCTTTCAAAGAATTACACTACCATTCAGTACGCCTCTCCCGTAAACGGGAGAAACCACAGTCTATCAGCACAGGGAAGTGTGTTTTTTAAGATGTAACAATGTTTCCAACACTGTATTATGAATATGACTGTAATACTACACAACATAAACATTCTATAATGAATGAGTCATACATTAGTGTTTAGGCTAGTCTACCATAAAGTAACCATATTGCTGCTTCTTTGCTTTCAGTGCATGAATTGTTTGTTATACCTGCAAATGAGTTTTTTTCACATTTTCATTTTTGATGTCTCATGTCAGTAACACATGTAACATCTACAGTACTAATGTCAGTAGTAACAGACAATTCATCCCGTAAACAGACAACAGAAACTTTAACCTATACAGAGTTGACAAATACAGGACAGTATGCTAAACATATTTTCTCTTTCTTGTGATTTTATTATTTTCTTTTTTCTAGCTTATGGTTATATAAGAATACAGTATATAATCATGCAACATACACAGTATGTGTAATCAACTGTTTATGTTATCGTTAAGGCTTCTCGTCAACAGAATATCAGTAATTAAGTTTTGGATGGGGGGGAAGTTTAGGCAGACTTTCGACTATTTAGGAGGCTGGCACTTGTAAGCCTCAAGTTGTTCAAGACTCAACTGTATTTTCCACATTTTCTATGCTGAACGTGTTTTTTGTCAATGAGTATTTGTGGAAACTTTCTGTTAACAATTTTCTACTTGTAGAAGTAACATATTCTCAGTGAAGTGTGTGGGGGGGAAAAGCTTTAATATTTTGTTTAAAATGCTATGGCATTCTGTTAACCATACTGGGTGCTTTAAAAAAATTCTAAGTGAGAAAAACAATGGTCTAAAAAATAATAATAGAGCCACCTGCGTGGCTCAGTCGTTAAGCGTCTGCCTTCGGCTCAGGTCATGATCCCAGGGTCCTGGGATCGAGCCCCACATTGGGCTCCTTGCTCAGCGGGAAGCCTGCTTCTCCCTCTCCCACTCCCCCTACTTGTGTTCCTGTTCTCGCTGTGTCTCTCTGTCAAATAAATAAAATCTTTAAAAAAATAAAAAATAATGACAACGTGATTCAATCAGAATTCTATTCTGATATGATGTTTTAACATTTTTTTAAACAAAAAAGCAAAAACAAAATAACTGGGGCTTTCTACCTTAGACAAGCTAACCTTTTTATTCATAAACAAACCCCCATTCATTCAGAAAGTCAGAAGTCCTTTCCAAATCAACATATTGAATAAGAACTTTTTTGAACAACTCTACCCCTCTGAAATGCCATTTGTACTAAGCTTAAAATTAGAAAACTTTCAGGGCGCCTGGGTGGCTCAGTTGGTTGGGCGACTGCCTTCGGCTCAGGTCATGATCCTGGAGTTCCGGGATCGAGTCCCGCATCGGGCTCCCTGCTCAGCAGGGAGTCTGCTTCTCCCTCTGACCCTCCCCCCTTCTCATGTGCTCTCTCTCATTCTCTCTCTCAAATAAAATAAATAAAATCTTTAAAAAAAAAAAGAATTAAAAAAAATTAGAAAACTTCCCTCTTTAGATATTCATTCTACAACTAGTTAAGATCTTTTTTTAAAGATTTATTTATTAGAGAGAAAGATGGGGGGGAGGGGGAGAAGGAGAGAGAAAATCTCTAAGCAGACTCCAGGCTGAGTGCAGAGCCCAGGGTAGGGCTCGATCCCAGGACCCTGAGATCATGATCTGAGCTGAAATCAAGAGGCAGACGCTTAGGGATGTCTGGGTGGCTCAGTCGGTTAAGCATCTGCCTTTTGCTCAGGTCATGATTCCGAGGTCCTGGGATCGAGTCCTACCTGATATCAGGCTCCTTGCTCAACAGGGAGCCTGCTTCTCCATCTGCTTGCCACTCCCCCTGCTTGTGCTCTCTCTGACAAATAAATAAAATCTTAAAAAAAAAAAAAAAAAGTCAGACACTTAACCAACTGAGCCACCCAGGCGCCCCAGCTAAAATCCCTTTTTATTAACAGCGGTTCAGGAGGCTCAGTGCATGTTTGTATTATGTGGCTAACATGAGCACTTCTATACCAAGGGAAGAGCACAGAACAGAACTTTCAGGTTCTCTTGGTTCAGTTTGAGGAAGTGGTATTTTTTCCCTGCCCTCTGATATCCCCTAAGGATCTCCTTAATTCAATTAGACAAACACTACTGAGTATCTCCTATGTACCCTGCCACTTTTATAATCAGAAAATCATCTTTCGATAAAGGTATTTTCAAAACCTAGGTAGGCCCTCCCCAAACACAGAAGAAATGTAAAACCGTTGGTGAAACAAAATTTAAAGGTACCAGAACTGCTTAGGAATTCAGGAAAAGACAAATTCAAATTTAAATTACTTTTGGCATGCAAAGGGAAGGTCAACTGGTTTCCCCTTGGCGAAACCTGCTTACTCTCTGTGAGCTAATGCTCAGGAAAGGCCCTAGAAGTCTCTAAGGAACACATCTGGTGATCTGAGATCTAGGAGCAACTAAGAAAAAACAGAAGTTTCTGCGTGCCCTGTCTGGGGCACTGAGAGCAGTTCACTGAGTGTTAATTTCTGAAGTACTCTTCTCTTATCCAACTTATGTATTTTGGACTATGGTGCTTTGAGAGGGGCACAATATTTTATACACAGTTCCAGTCTCCACAAGAAAATCCTTCTAACCCTTATCACAAATATTAAGAAATTGTCTCACCTGCTCAGACTGTGTGAGCTTCATGGCTTCAGAAAGATATGCTGGTTAAAAAAAAAAAAAGGCACATTAATATGACTGTTATAATCTTGTAATCAACAGGTCAAAGGAAGAGTTTTAGTACTCCTACAACAAAAAGAACTGGTTTTAGAAGCAATTCTGCTACATAGTTATCCTGTTCCTCAACAGAAACAAGGTGGGGATTTTAAGACAGGATTCTTAACTTCTCCAAGAAAGAAGTCAGTGGTAACCAACTGTAGATATTCTCTACCCCATTTTGAAGGGGTTTGTTCTTCAAAATCCTTGTAGATTTCATAATTAAGAAAGTAAAGATGGCCTAATTAGAAATATAGGATCAGGAAGGATTAAAATTAAACAGGAACCTATCAAAACCCTACTACTCATTTTGATCAGAAAAATATCAAGAGACTGATTATTAGTGTCTTTTTACCTACATGAATACCTGGACTATATCATTTTAGCCTCCTACAGAACTTTTATTGAATTATTTCTGAGCTATCCCATCAACCTACCATGAATCAGGTAGTTAAGAGCCATAAGAACCTGTTGACTTATTTATTGTAAGCAAGTTGCTGAGGACAGTATAATGTCTTTTATGAAGACCATAAATGATCAGTAATACATTTCTCTCTGACCTTAGGATCAGTTTCTGGGTGACTTAATTTACTTGGATTTAAAAAGTCACTGTAAAAATCCCTAATTTTCCTCTCTGAGCTACCTTCTAGAAAGCTCAAAGCCAAGTTCTCCTATCAAATAAGCAAGAACTCATGGTGCATTTTGTGAACTATGCTTCCAGGCACTCCTCATTTTATCTTTCTGTGGCTTCCTCATCTGCTTATTTTTAATTACATTTTATATTTTGCTATATTCCTCTCTAAGGCCTTTTATATACTGTGGAACAAAACAGGGTATAAATGACAAGTAATATAATAATAGATCACGCACAGTCTCCATTTTTTATTTCTTGCTTACTATAAACTTTTCAGTGTCTCTCACCCCTACATTAAGTTCCTTTTTGCCTTTTTGCAGATACTACAAGGCAATGTTTCTGTCGTCTTAATTCAAATATTTTAAATGATTTTGTTGTCTGCCAGGTTCTATCATAGTCTTTAAGATACAGATTAACTGGATGGTCTCTCCCCAACAGAAAACAGTTGGTTCTACAGCCTTTGCTCTAGCCATACTTACATTTTTTTTCTCAACTTTTGCCCTTTATTCCTATAGTAAGTCTGAACTACCCTAAACTACCTATTATGTCTGCATACATTTGTGTCCCTGTGTGAACTATAGTTTGTTTTAAATCCACTTTATAAACAAATGGAACAGTTTCATAAAACCAGGCTTAAACCAACTAGACTGCCCTCGTAGAACCTTGAAATCCTAACATGACAGCAGAGGATACCCAAGGACACTGAGTCCCCAAGTACAAAAGAATCAAACAAGAATCACACTATCACTTAAACCATGTCCCATGCTTCAATGTAAAATTTGGGTCTTGGGGCGCCTGGGTGGCTCAGTCGGTTAAGCATCTGCCTTCGGTTCGGGTCATGATCCCGGGGTCCTGGGATCGAGCCCTGCGTCAGGCTCCCTGCTAAGCAGGGAGTCTGCTTCTCCCTCTCCCTCTGCCTGCTGCTTCTCCTGCTTGTACACTCTCCCTCTGTCAAAAATAAATAAAATCTTGGGCGCCTGGGTGGCTCAGTTGGTTAAGCGACTGCCTTCGGCTCAGGTCGTGATCCTGGAGTCCCGGGATCGAGTCCCACGTCGGGCTCCCTGCTCAGCAGGGAGTCTGCTTCTCCCTCTGACCCGCTTCCCTCTCGTGCTATCTCTCATTCTCTCTCTCTCAAATAAATAAATAAAATTAAAAATAAATAAATAAATAAATAAATAAATAAATAAAATCTTTAAAAAATAAAATAAAAATAAAATTTGGGTCTTAAGGGGTACTTAGCTGGCTTAGTCAGTAGTGTGTGACTCTTGATCTCAGGATTTTAAGTTCAGCCCCACGTTTGGTGTGAATCACTTAAAAACAAAATCTTAAAAATATGTACTCATAAATAAAATAAATTTGCTCTTTTCACTATTTGTGAAAAAAACTTAGGGAAGTGGACTGTGTAAGACTACAAGTAAGAATTCTAACGACTGAGCCACCAGGCACCCCTAACCATGTCAATTTTCAAACTAGCATTACATTCACAACTCCACTCTAAAACACAAGGCTATTTTTTTTTAAAGATTTTATTTATTTGACAGAGAGACACGGTGAGAGAGGGAACACAAGCAGGGGGAGTCGGGGAGGGAGAAGCAGGCTTCCCGCGGAGCAGGGGGCCCATTGCGGGACTCCATCGATCCCAAGAATCATGGCCTAAGCCGAAGGCAGACGCTTAACAACTGAGCCACTCAGGCGCCCCACAAGGCTATTTTTAACCAAGTCTGAACTCCAAATCAAATCAGCTCAGTGGGATTAACTAATCACACTTAAATTCTATCTCCCTCATTAGAGCTAATGGGATCCAAAAGGCTGCCTTTATCTTTTCTACTCCTGAGAATGTGGCAGACTGCAGATACTGAGAAAGTAGAAAGGGGCGTGTAAAGCCCATCATCAATCTTAACTCCTCAAATAAAGACAGGGATGTAGAGGGTGTCTGGGTGGCTCAGTTGGTTAAGAGTCTGCCTTCGGCTCAGGTCATGATCCTGGAGTCCCAGGATGGAGTCCCGCATCAGGCTCCCTGCTTCTCCCTCTGACCCTCCTCCCTCTTGTGCTCTCTCAAATAAATAAATAAAATCTTTAAAAAAAAAACAAAACACAGGAATGTAGGTTAGGAATTAAGGAGACCTTTCTCCCTTTTATATACTCAGAATCTCCTACTGCTCAATGCACAACATATGCTGGTCACTCCATTGTATTATATTTTATATACATGTAACCACAACCACTGTGGGTTATTTAATCAAAGGTATGATTTCAGTGGCATTCATGCACAACATTTTTTTTAAAAATGTTTTTTTTTTATTTTTCTTTATTTGACAGAGACAGAGAGAGTACAAGCAGGCGTAGTGGCAGGCAGAGGGAGAAACAAGCTCCCCACTGAGTAGGGGCTTGATCCCAAGACCCTGGTATTATGACCTGAGCTGAAGGCAGACCCTTAACCGCCAAAGCCACCCAGGCGCCCTACACAACACTGTTTTTTTTTTTTAAATAGTGTAGTACATTGTCTTTTCTGTAAGGTGACTATAAATTTAACAATTTGATTCACAACAAAATATGGTTTATGAAAGATTTAAAGAGCACTAGCTGCCAAGTTTAATTTTGTATAAAGCTCTCCATGAAACTCACCATAAAAATTCACAAAGACTTACAGGGTACATATTAGGCCCCCAGCCTTACTGCTGAAGGGGTACACTTCAGTGGCAAAACTAATTCTTTTAAAAATAAGACTTGAAATTTTCTCTGAAAATCACAGGCGTGTAGGCAAAAATCACTGACATAAAAGAACTTAGTCAAACCAGTATCCACCATGTGGTCTGTATTCCAGCACTAAGGCAACACTGGAGGGTACACTCTCCCAAGAAACAACATGGTTTTAATCATCACAGTGGCCTAGAAGGAAAAAAAATAGTGTCTTCCTTGCTCTAAGAAAGGTGGCCTATTTTGAATGCAGCATGAGTAAAACACTCCCTCCCCGAAGTTTTTAGGTTCGTTCATCAGCCAACAGAAACCAGTCTTTACAAAACAGACCCCAAAAATCTATTTCTGAGTTCAACATATGCTAAACTGCAACTGACTGGGATAAAATAACTGTTTGATAAGAAGTCATTAATTCTAAACTTCATATCTAAAAGAAAGCGATCATCAGCATGATACCATAGGCATGAACGTACAGATGAAATATTCAGAAAGAAGCTAAACAAAGAGTATTACCAGCATCTCAGAAAACAAATTCAGTGAAAACTAATCAGTTAAAATTTAGTTATTACTTTCATAACCCAAAACGGCTATTTGAAATTCATTTTCCATAACAACTAAAAGTGGTAGACTTCTTGCAATCACTTCTACCTTTAGGAATCTTTGGATTCAGAAAGCTGTGTCCACAGTCATTTACCAGTATGGCATATGCAACCTTCATGGTTTAGGAAGACTAGATTAGGAGGAACTAGGATATCCAACATACTCACATGAAAAGTAATCCAAACCGATATTCTGGTGGGTCAGTAGTGTCAACCTTGTATATGCAGGACAACACCACATCAATACTACTGTGACTTTCGTTCTGAATAAATTGTTGAGATGGCTGGAGAAAAGAAATTGCCCTCCAGTTTTAGACTCAGTATTTCTTTAGAAGAATACTCACCGGAAGCCTTTTTGTGACAAGAAATAGCCTCTTCGTATTTCCCTGCAGCTAATAAACGATCTGCTCGTCTGCTCTGTTGATGAGCCTAGAAGAAAAACATTCCCAAATTCCTCTGAATTATATAAAAAGATATGACTTAAAAAAAATTTTTGGGGGCGCCTGGGTGGCTCAGTCGGTTAAGCGGCTGCCTTCAGCTCAGGTCATGATCCCAGAGTCCTGGGATCGAGCCCCACGTTGGGCTCCCTGCTCAGTGGAGAGCCGGCTTCTCCCTCTCCCTCTGCCTGCCTCTCTGCCTACTTGTGCTCTCTTTCTGTCAAATAAATAAATAAAATCTTTAAAAAAAAATTTTTTTTTGGACAAGATAAATGATGCCCTTTTTTGCCACACATCAAACCATTACAGCTATATCGGTAAGAAATCTAATGGATAGCTCCTTGAGCTGTAGCATCTGAAAGGATTGGCAACTTTTCTCAACTCTACCAATAAACCATTCGTTTCACACCAGGCACTTAACTACTTCAGTGACTCACATTCTTCCACTCTTCAGAGATTAACCAAGAGTTACAATCACAGATTGTTACCTAAAATGTATACTGAATTGATTTTTAACAACCTTTCAAAACAAAAGTCATCTTGTGGATCCTTTCACTAGTTTGTATTGTTCAATAACTAAAATCAGGAAATTTCCAGAAAAGTCAAGCTTCTCTTACATCAACTCATTCTTCCCTTCCAACATTACAGTTACTATTTGTTTTTTTGTTTGTTTGTTTGTTTTTTAAGATTATTTTATTTATTTATTTGAGAGAGTGAGAATGAGAGAGAGAGAGAGACAGAGAGCACATGAGGGGGGCGGTCAGAGGGAGAAGCAGACTCCCCGCTGAGCAGCAGGGAGCCCGATGCGGGACTCGATCCCAGGACTCCAGGATCATGACCTGAGCCGAAGGCAGTCGCTTAACCAACTGAGCCACCCAGGCGCCCTACTATTTGTTTTTAAGATAAAAATTTGCACACTGTACAGTTGAAGAATTAACTATACAAAAAATTTTTTTAAGATTTTATTTTTTTATTTGACAGAGAGAGACACAGCGAGAGAGGGATTGCAAACAGAGGGAGTGGGAGAGAGAGAAGCAGCCTTCCCACCGAGCAGGGAGCCCGGTACGGGGCTCAATCCCAGGACCCTGGGATCATGACCTGAGCCAAAGGCAGACTGAGCCACCCAGGCGCCCCTGACTATACAAATATTTAATATTACAGTGATTTCTTTTTCAGGTACCACTGACCAAAACAACAAACTAAGAACTTCTGAAAGCAAATGACTAAAGTGCCCCCGAATGTAAAGGAAAATCAATTAATAATCACTGTCACTGGCCTCTTCACATCTGTGCTACACTTTCTAAGTTCCTACAACTTTATATATTTCCCTTTCTGACATAAGGACGTCCAGCAGACCCCTGGGGCCACATATCTCACCTAAGGTTATACAATTAGCAGCAAAGAAGAAAGAAATGATCAACTCAATTCTTCTAACTAGTGTAGTTTTCCTCACAAACTCACAGATGATTTAGCAAAACTTCTTAAGAAAGAGGTGAAAAGCACTGCACACTCATGTCCGCAGCAGCGTTAGTCACAGCAGTCAGAACATGGAATCAACAGATCAGCGGAGGAACAAAATGCGGTACAGAGATACACACACACACGGTAATTCGTATTCAGCCTTGCAAAGGAAGGAAATTCCAACACATGCTGCAACATGGATGAACTCCGAGAACATTATGCTAATAATAAAATAGAAAATAAGCCAGTTACCAAAAGACAAATACGTATGATCCCACTTATATGGGTACCTAATGTAGTCAAACTCATAAAAACAGAAAGTGAAATAGTGGTTGACAGGGGGTGGCAGGAGAGAAAAGTGAGTTGGAGTTGTTGAAGGTGTAGAGTTTCAGTTTTGCAAGGTGAAAGGTTCTGGAGACCTGTTGCACAACAAGTGAATATACTTGCTACTATACCGTGTACTTAAAAATTATAGAGCATAGTTTATGCTATGTGTGCTTTACCACTATTTAAAAAAAATTTAAGTTTATTTATTTTTTCAGTAATCTCTATACCAAATGTGGGGCTTGAACTCAGGACCCCGAGATCAAGAGTCACATGCTCTTCCAACTGAGCCAACCAGGCACCCCTTTACCTCAATGTTTTAAGAAGGCAAAAAGCAAATCTGTACCGTCAGGTGTAAAGTGACTTAACTTGAATGTTTTTCAAAAACTGTGCCACAGATGCCTCACAAAAATACCTCAGAGAATCAGTTTTGCAACTGAGATTAGAAATATTCTGGGCATGTCTGCAAATCATGCTCAATCTAAAACAGAGGTGAAGACAAAAGTAGAAAACAGCACTCCTGGCAATGCTTGCTGTTTACATTTCCCTTCTATTTTTGTAAGGAAGACACAGCAACACTCTTTAAAAGCAAGATCATCCATTTCAACTGTTTCAGAGGCTTTTTATTCTTCAAATAACTAAACTTTCTCCCTAAGCCTCAATTTATTCCTGAAAATAATAATGGGTAAAAGAAATGACTATATGCTCTAAACATAGGAGTATTTTATAGTACCCAGAAATGATACAGATCTTTTGGGAAGAGACTACACATGAAGAAAGCTAAATTATGATCAACACAATTTCTCTAAGTAATGTGTTCTGATAATGTAGTTAAAGCAAGTAGCACTCTATCAACAAGACTCTAAGTCTTTTTCTAAAAGAAAAAAGGGGGTGAATCTGCAGGTGCCTTAACCTTTCTGAGCTTTGCAAGAAAAGCCATACATAAGAGACAAACCTGCTCTGAAATTCCAAACTACCTCCCTAACTATGCATGGCAAAGTGCAGATCCATCCCTACCATGAACCCAGGGCTCTGGACTCAAGTTTTGGCTTTCCCACTGACTAAATTACTTCATCCTTCAGGCTCTGTAAAATGATAGATATGGACCAGATCGGTGCTTAAGTTTTAATGGAATACAAATCACCTGGGGATCTGGTTAAAATGCAGACTGATTCTGTAGGTCTAGAGCAGGTGCAGGTGAAGCAGCTGGCTCCTGGACACACTCTGAGAAGCAGGGATGAGATGCTCTCTGAGGTCACCTCGCTCTGATGCTGCATCTGTGTCTCTGAGGACATTAACCACTTTCTACTTTGTACTATACTTATGAAGCTCCCTATTTCAACTTCAAGCTCCACAGTAACAGAATAAATTGTTTCTTGAACACCAAAGAAAAAGTTCTCCAGTGGTGAGAACAGTATCTCCTACTCCTCTTGAACTCACTAAAACCTCCCCATGTAAAGTCCAATCTCTGATCACTCTGCCAATTCAGGAGTTACAGCTCATTTAAAAACAGACACCTGGGGGTGGCTCAGTCATTAAGCGTCTGCCTTCGGCTCAGGTCATGATCCCAGGGTCCTGGGATCGAGCTCCGCATCGGGCTCCCTGCTCAGAGGGGAGCCTGCTTCTCCCTCTCCCACTGCCCCCCTGCTTGTGTTCCCTCTCACTGTGTCTCTGTAAAATAAATAAAATCTTTAAAAATAAATAAATAAATTAATTAATTAATTAAAAACACACACTCTAGGTCACTTGGCATCACAGCAATCAAATTCCCTGTTAAAAAAAAAAAAAATACAGTTCCTACTAAGTTCTTGTTAGACACCCAGCAAGCCCAGACTCCATACAGAACTTGACTGCTTAGGTTCAAATCTCAGCTTAAACATTTACTAGACACATGAAATTGGCTTTCTTAACTTTCTGCCTCAGTTTTCCCATCTCTAAAATGAGCGTATTGTAAAAATTAAACTAGTTAAAAGACAACAGAAGCCTTGGTGGTACCTGCCATCAAGTTCACAATGTAGTTGGGGAGACTAAACTTTTTTTTTTCCTAGCTGAAGATATTATAGGAAATTTATTTTGGTAATACTTCTTATTTATTTATTTATTATTGATACTTTTTTTTTTTTTAAAGTAGGCTCTATGCTGGGGCTTGAACTCACAACCCTGCGATCAAGAGTCGGACACTTAACCTACTAAGCCACCCAGGCACCCCAATACTTCTTATTTTTAAAACAATTTTTAGGGCACCTGGGTGGCTCAGTTGGTTAAGCGACTGCTCAGGTCATGATCCTGGAGTCCCGGGATCGAGTCCCGCGTCGGGCTCCCTGCTCAGCGGGGAGTCTGCTTCTCCCTCTGACCCTCTTCCCTCTCGTGCTCTCTATCTCTCATTTTCTGTCAAATAAATAAATAAAATCTTTAAAAAAAAAAACAATTTTTAAAGATCCCATTAAGTTAAAATTAATCTCTTTAAATACTGTTCTTGGTAGAATCACAGCCATTAAACATACTAAGTCTATAAATAAGTTTCTTTGGTAATTCAAAATAAAACAGGAACAAGAAGCAACTGAAATGGAAATATTGGTTGAGAGATTCTAAAAGCAGTCTGGGCAGTGATATATTTTAGTTCTGATAACATGGGGGGGTTTTTGGCCAAGTATTTCAAAATGCACTGATTTATGGAAAAGGCTGTATCTCAATACTTCATATTCATTAAGAAAGGGTAAAAGACACTCCAGGTCTTTATGAATGGTTTCACTAACAAGTCAAAAAATGTTTAAGCCAAGAATGCATCTATTTTGGCTACTAAACCAAACAAATTAAGCTTAAATTTTATTTATCTTTTTCTTAAAGTATCAATCCTGGCCAGGAAACTGTTAGGCAGAAAAGGCAACATAACACTCTTCAAGAGCTTCAACTCCATTAACCCATCTTCGTCTCCCTTGCTGATAAGACAAATGAGCTAAATTTTTTGTCTGTTTTAACCCTCTGGATTTCTTATAAAAGTGTATATAAATCTTTCATAAAAATTAGTGTTTTCCAAAACAACAGAAACAGACTCATAAACACAGAGAACTGGTGGCGGCCAGAGGGAAGAGGGGTGGGCTGATGAACAAAACAGGTGAAGAGAATTAAAAGATACAAACTTCCAGTTATAAAATAAGTCACGGAGATGAAAAGTGCACTATAGTCAATAACAGCATAACAATGTTG